TGATTTTTGTGTGTTGACCTTGTATCCAGCTACTCTACTGAATTTGGTTATTAAGTCTAGAAGACTTTTGGTGGAGTTCTTGGGGTCTTCTACATGTCATACTTTCTATAGCAGATATTTTTGTTTTTGATTCAGGACTCCAGAAAAGATCTTTTTTTTTTTTTTAGTTGTCATCTCTAGCTCCCTTTTAAAAGTTTCATAGTCCAGGTTGGTTGTCCATAGAATGTCTTAGCATCTGCATTTGTGTGATTATTTTCTTATTAGATTCAATTTAGATATTTTTAGCAAGTAATTACATAGGGGATATTTGTTCCCAGGTATCATATTAGGTTCATAGTTAAGGGCTGGGGATTTAGCTCAGTGGTTTCACCGCCTGCTGTGCAAGCGCAAGGACCGGAGTTCGATCCCCGGTACCAAAACAAAAACAAAAACATATTAGGTTCATAGTGTCCATTTGTCACCTTCTTGTTGATACCAACCAGGTTTGATCCCTTGGTTAAGGTGGTAGGTAATCCATGGAATGATACATTGACACTCTACCTGTTTATCCTTTTACCTTTTAGCTTGATGTTTCTTACTTGAATTAATGAATGTGTTATCAGTTATCATAATTTTTTTTTATTCTCAATTTTCTCACATTTGGCCTTTCTGAACCCCTTCATGTCCTCATGAAACTGTCCCTTCAGTGTTTGAACACTTCCTTGTTCTTTATCATACACAGTTCTAGGCTCATCTCATGCTTTTCCCCAACCCTCTACACAGCTTGCTTTCTAAGAATCTCTGTTTCATTTTTGTGAGAAATAGTATATTTAGGAATGAAGTTTGTTGATATGATAAAGTCATACCTTCCAGGCTTTTTTCTGTGGACAGACTTAGGAAACCATACACCTGTCCACCCATCATGAGTTCAAACTCATATTTTAGTGTTATTTTAAAAGTAAATATTGACATATTTGGAGCTTTATTTGTTCTGTAGAAGAAAACTAAAATGCCACTCTTTTTTTTTTTTTTTTTTTGGTACTGGGGATCGAACTCAGGACCTTGCACTTGTGAGGCAGGCGCCAGAACTACTGAGCTAAATCCCCAGCCCTATGCCACTCTTTTTTAAAAGATCTTTTAAAAATATTTGAAAAGTGGAAAATTTAGTGTAATTTGTGGTACATAACCTGACTTTTCTTGGTCAATCTGGTCTTGGTGTTAGTTATTTAATGAGCTTTTATCTCTGTTGCTAATGCAGTTTTAGGGCAGTGCCGTGATAATGTTGAGCCAAAAAAGTTGCCAATCACTGAAGAAGAGCAGATTTACCCTTGGGACACATGTGCAGCAGTGCATGACGTGAGGCTTTCGTTATTACAGCGTTACTTTAAGGATGTAAGTACTCTTCTTATTGAGTAGTATTTTTTTTTTCTTTTGGTACTGGAGATCGAACTCAGGACATTGCGCTTGCCAGGCAGGCAAGCCTGATTTTGCCACTGAGCAAAATCACCGGCTTGAATAGTATTTTTGACTGCAAAGTTGATGGTTATTTTCCTCCAGAGTTTTATTTTATATTTTTTTCTTTTAACAGAATGTTATTCTGAGTTAAAATCTGGAAGCTTACTAGAAAACATTAGTATGTTGATGATAATGAAATGGAAATTTGTTAAAAATTTCAAGTAATAAATATATATTTGTTTTATATGTTTATTGTGAAGTATATATAATTCAGTTCAGTGGAATAATAAACATTAACTCTAAAATCCTTTAGATATAGCACAAATATTTTAGGAAAAATTTTGCCTTTTTATTTCAAGATACGCAATAAAAATTTATTATGGTACTTTTAAAATGTAAAGGAGGATTGGATTTGATTCCTGTCATCTGTGACTTCTTGTAAACTTGGTACCTAGATTTTTTTTCAGCTTTTTGCATCTAAAAGATCTGTTACTCAGAAGTGTCTCAAGGCTTGAGAATAAGTTTTATGTAATATAGTAGCATTGTTAATTTCTTTTTTAAAATTTTGATATCAGTTTTGCATTTCATTGAGTGGATTATCAAATGGAGTTTCTTTCCCTCTGTTGTAGTTTTTTTGAATGTACTGTATCTTGAATTAAGTAAACAACACAAGAGCTTAAAATATAGAAAAGCATTACTTTTACTGAATTATATGAAATGACTGTCTTGAAAGATTTTTAAATAGAACGTCTTTCTTGCTTATAATTCTGCTATATGGAAGAAACTACTAAGGTAGGTGGAAGGTAGAATTCTTAATAAACAGTAACTGACGTAAAGATGATAACAGCCAGAGTAAAGTCTATTCCATAAAACTTGGACTGAGGAAAAGGTTTTTGGCGGTTCTAGTTAGGGAGATGTTGTGCAGAATAAAGAGTTGTAGGCCAGAAGAAACGGGGGTAGATTCTGATTCTGCTGTTTCTGAGGTGTGTGAGCTTGGCCAAATCCCTTAAACATTTTGAGAGTCAGTTTTCTCATCTGTAAAGGATTTAGAAGTGATCTTTCTTGCAGAACCCACAATATTAGAATCACTTTAGATCACTTTGGGTGCATTATAGGCCAGTAGAAGTGTAAAGTGATGTTTTTATTTTCAAGGTACAGAAATCTATTTGGAAGGACTCAGATTAGGCTTTATAAGATTACTTGGGTTATATAATGGGTTATATAATGTTGACCGTGCTTCCATATATTTTCACAACTTTAAGAGGAAATTGTAGTTACTTTCTAAAAGCAGCGTTTTCTTTACAAAGAAATCATGACATTATGCTAAATTAATCAACTGCATACTTTTGCTGCCATTTTATTTAGATTTCATTTTTTGGTCTTAATTCTGGTTTTAATTTTATCATTTTGAATCACTTTAAAGTAAATGAGTAAAGGTGAAAGTTAAATCCAGACATATTTTTTGATTCAATCACAATATAATCCAGAGCTAAGTGTGTAGTAATTGTGAGGGAAGGGGAGATCTAATGTAGGAGAGAAAAAGTTACATGTTTCTTCCTTCCAACTGAGGGTAGTCATCCATTTCTAGAAGAAAAGATTGTTTTGTTTTAAATAAAAAGGTTCTAACCTGAACTCTGAACTGGACTGGATTGTGTTGTATTTCTATTAGTTTTTTTTTTTTTTGGGTACCAGGGATCAAACTCAGGACCTTGCGCTTGCACAGCAGGTGGGGAAACCACTGAGCTAAATCCCCGGCCCTTTCCTGGATTTTTTTACTGAATTACTCTAGGCATAGCTAGAACAGGCTGTGTAGAGCAAAAGAATTGCTGTTTGTGGGACTATGCTGTTATAGAATTAGACTGCATGCATTTTACAGAGTTCACAAGTAAAATTTTAGTTATGTAAGACAGCACATTCACTAGAAACTGGAATTTTTGGGGAGGTGTGACACTGTAGAGGGAAGGAACTGAGCTTTGGAATCAGGTAGACTTGGATTTTATCTTGGGCACTACCATTTACAACTTCATGGTTTTGGTGAAAATTTCATTTTCTTTTGAAAATGGGTAACATCATGTACTATAAAAAATTTTAGTAAATATTGAAGTTGTGAAGATTCAGTTTGATAAGCACTCAACACAGTTGTTTGCAGACATGTAGTTGAAAGCTCTCTAAAATATTAGCCTCTTTTTAGTGGATATGTTTCTGCATTTTTAACTCCAACAACCTCAAATGAGATATCTATCAGTTGTATAGAAAGTGATCAATATTTTCAGTTTTAAAAATCTAACTACTTTTGTTAAAAATAAAGATTCATTACCTTTTTATAGTACAATGACAGCAGCTTGCTTATTAACTGGATACCAACCATTCTAAAATGATCTAACACCCAAATCTGCTTCTATTTCAAGCAGCTCCAAAATGTAAAACAGAGATGAGCAGGCCTCCTGTTGTTTTTCTGGTTTGTAATGTTAGAAGCTTGCTCACCTGCTGTGAGTATTTAATTTATGCTGCTGCACATCTTTAAATTGACTGAGCAGGCATTTTTGTGCTGTGTAATATTTTCAACTTTCAGATATTCATGAAGTCTTGATTTAATATTGGAACTTCTTTCACCATCATTTATAGAACATTTTGTCATCTTATGTAATAATGTATAAATTTCCCCAATATAAAAATAAAATGTAAACATTCAGTTTTTATGCATGTAAGAACATGCTTATTTGATCACTGTCAAATCTTTCACTATATGCTGTCACTTATTTTAGACCTTGTGCTTCTTACTGGTTTGGGGCCTGTTCATCTATGTGTTACAGACTCTAGAGGGTAAATGCACATTCATGCCCACATGCTCTTTGACAGGCATGTGATAAAAATTCCAAGAATGAACTTGAAAAGTCTTAAGCTTTTTTATAGGTTGAGAGGGAGTTTGGAAATTTATATTGTGGTTTGAAGGGACGGGTTGATGTAGAATGACTCTTAGCTCTCTGATATGGTGACTAAATTGTGATATTTTTAAAGCAAGAGAAAGATTCATGGAGAAGATGACAAGTTTTTGACATTGATTTTTATGTTGTTTGAGGGACATGAAAGGAGACTCCTGGTGGCAGCTGAGTAATTGTAGCAACCACTTAGGCAAGATAACCAGGCTTGTAGGGTAGTTGAAATTACTAATTAAATTCTTTAGGAGAATAGTTCTAATGAGAAAAGAGTAGTACAGAGATTAAGACCTGAGGAGTATAAACTTTGAAGGGACAGGTGAAGACAGAAGAGTCTTGGAAGGAGGCCAAGAAAAAGAGAGTAAGAAAACCAAGAGAGGGTAACATTATGGGAGTCACAGAGAAGTAGACATTTTAGAAAGGAAATTGTTGATGTCAGATGTCACTGAGAGATCAAGTACCCAACAAAACATATAAAATAATAATAACCTATTGTATAATATATAAATTGTTCTTTATGAGGTGGAGAACGGCTAGTTCATAATTATTCTCTTTCATTATATGCATAGATACTTGGGAACTAAAACTTAAGTGTTCTAATTTTTTTTTTTTTTTTTGATACCGGGGATCGAACTCGGGATCTTCCACTTGCAAGGCAGGCGCCGGAACCACTGAGCTAAATCCCCGGCCAGCAGTGTTCTAATTTTAAAGATACTGCCTTAAGGTTATGTAGTCAGGTTTAATTTCTATGTCAATCCTACAGATACCACATTAGTATAACAACATGAAATCATGGGAATATATTTAAATATGTTTATACTTCTTTAAAATTAATTGTCTTTTGTCTTTTTTTTTTTTTTTTTTTAAAGAGTTCTTGTCTTTTGGCAGTATCAATTGGCTGGGAAGGAGGTGTTTATGTACAAACCTGTGGCCATACCTTGCATATAGATTGTCATAAATCTTACATGGAATCATTACGGGTAAGTTGAGTGGAAAAATTTTTAAAGATATATTTTCCCAGGTATTAAATCTTTTTATAACATATACATCTCAATTCTACTTCTTTGAAAGATTTTCATTTTGTAACTCACTTGAGCACCTGACTTCCATGGCTGTAACTTAGACTTTGCTACTCTGGCTCTGAAATACTTAGCTTTGATATCCTACTGTATTATTACCTTATTATATGATGATTCCTCAAATTCTGTTATCTTCCTTCTCATTAGTATTTTTTTTAACCCTTTTGCATTTTTCCTAGTGTGTTAGCTCCTTTCAAGCTTTTCTTGTATTATGCCTGTTCTCCCTTTACTACCTACCATTTAATGTGCTTCCTTCAGTTTTAGACCCAGTTAGCTGGGCCACTAAAGAAATCATAAAACTAAGTGAATTGTTATCACAGACTTGTGATTTCCTATAGTCATGGCTTGCACTAGGGTCATGGAATATAAATATACTTATTAATTCATTTACCTGTGTCTTATGAGTTTATTCTGTTGTTCTTCTCAGCAGCTATTCCAAACCTTTGCCTTCCCCATCCCAAACTCTTTCCCTAAACTCCAAGATCCCTTTTGTCAGATTTTTTCTTTTCTTATGTCACCAGGAAAAGTGTTTCTTTGTCTTACACTCTCTTAGCTTACTACCTTGTTTTTTTTTTTTAATTCTCCAATAAATTACCTTGTATCCCAATTCATCCTTTTCTTTTCTACTCTTGGAAGACTGTTTATGAATAACTTTTCTGTCTGTGCTCTAGGATTTCTTTCGCCTCAGCATTTCAGGGGTTTTGATCTATCAATATGTAACCTCTTTTTCTTCTATATCTTATTTTGCTGTCTTTTCTATCCCTTCTCAGCTCATAAAGATGATCAAGCCTATCCAGTCAGAGTCTTTCTCTTGATCTTGCATACCCCTGTGACTGAAGTCTTCTCTTTCTCTTGGACCAACTTTGTAAAAACATGTACTGTAATAGCAGGTCCACTGTATTCCTAGGTTCCTAACTTGGAAACATTTATCTTTTTTCCTTTCTAATCTTAACTTCTTATGTTCAGTCGCTAACCAATATTCTGTTGGTTCTAACTTCTGAATCTCACTTGACTATATTCTTTATTATTCTCACTGGTAATTTTGAGTGTATGCTTTCATTTTTCATGTTGGTGATTTTAGTTGCTTTCTTGCTAATTTCTTTACTTCAAGTCTAATTTATTCTCTACATCAATCTTTCTAAAATGTAAATGTGATGACATGTGTCATTGGCTTAAAAATTCTTTGCTTGCTTTCCAATAGGATAAATTTCACTTTTCTCTCAGTGGCATTCAGGTACTATATGATCTGGGCTTGCTTGTTGCTTTAACTTTTTATCAATTCAACATTAATAAGCTAACTAGTAGTTTCTCATGTGTGTTATGCATTCTTATAAGCCTATGTTCAATTATTCAAATATTTTTTTAGTGTCCACAGAGTTCTTGATAATAATACTGGGAATACAAAAGTGAATAAGACACAAATTTTTTTCCTCAAAGGGTTTATTTTGTATTTTGTAGACAAACAGTTGCATTGTATGTGCTAAATATTATGAGGCCTTCATAATATTTATAATATAATAATTTATAATATTAAGACCCTTCATAATAGGGTCTTAATGGAACATCTGCTAGATGCCTGAACATTTGATGAAGTAACATATTTGAGAGATGAGAAATGGGCCTGGAAAAGTAACTGGGGCCAGTTTGTAAACCGCCTATGCTTTTTGTGAAGAATTTGGACTTTGTATAGATATTTTAGAGAAAGCTATTAAAAGCTAAGTAGAAATTTAAAGTGTCCAGAAAGATCACTGTGACTGTTGTATAGAGAGGGGATTCTGGAGGACTAAGGTAGAATGTGGTAATATCATTTAGGAAGTAGGAGAGGATGGTGGCTTGGACTTAGTTATAGCAGTGGAAATGGAGTGGAGGTTATAGATCTGAAATATGTTTAGGAAATAGTCTTCTGGATGGGTGAGGGATTTTTATATAGAGCATGAGGGGAAGGCAGGAATCAAAATGGGAGTTGATGGTGACCACTGGATTATTTTTATTTTATAACAGTCTCACATTAAATGTTAGACATTTTAGATCATACCACATTGTGGTTGGGTGACTAGTTAAAGCTTAGCAAAGGGAGTAGAAAAAATAAAGTGGGCAGAAGAACTGATGGCGTTTATTAATTGTGTACTTGTGGTAGGAGATAGGAAGAAGCTGAAGGACTGCCATGACTGTCTCTCTGAGGTAGAAAATGTACCTTATGTTCTTAAGTAAATGGAGCGGTGTGGGGGAAGTTAAGAGACTTGACAAGTGAAGAAGTGCTTTGGATTTTGGTGAGAGAGATGTTCCCAGGATGTTGAAAAAAGGCTGCTAAACAATATTTAAGGCTCAGTTGAAGTTGGAAATAGTTTGTAGAAAGAAATACTTTATTTTTATCTAACAGCACTTAGTTTGTGTGCAAAATTGAAGAAGGTATAACTTAAATTAATTTTTGTAAAGGTTTTGTTAGAATGATAGAAGGATATATGGAAGGGAGTGGGAAATACTGCCAAGAGTATTTGAAGTGACAGATCACAGTATGTAGGCAGGAAAGAACAGTCCTGAAAAACTAGAAAAAGAAGGGAATAAGGGGTAGGAGTTGGTAGTCAGGATGTAAAATGTTTGAATTGAATATTTCACATGTGGACAATTTTGAGTTATTACAGGACAAGGCTGTAGTCCTGGTTATAGGTGCCTAGAGCACTGTGGAGGTCAAAGCTATAGGAGCTGATGAGGGAAGGAGTTGAGGGGCTAGGTGTAAGATCAGCTGTGCTTATATACTATGGAATTGCATAGGAGGATGACAGGACTTGGAATGATGAGGAAACTTGATCTAGATACCAAAATCTTGAATGATGAGTGTGGTGACAATGAAATGGAAGGGAAAATACAGTATTACTAAATGACTTAGGACACAGACAAGAGAATGGAGGAGTAATAATCTGAAGCTAGTGCTGGAGTTGAGGATACTGAGGTGTGAGGCATATGGAAGGAGATGAGAGGGCTTCTGGGGAAACCTTAGGAAAAAGCTTGACTTCAATTCAGCAAGCAATAGGACCCAGCATTCTTTGCCTTTAAGACTATAAGCGAACCTATTGCAGAATATCATTCTGTGATGAGGACCTTTCCTTCAACCTTCTAGTGCACTCTTATGTACCTTAAAAACTTAACTCCCAACCCTCTTTTCTGGTATGCCTTCTTTGTTGCATTTATCACACTATATTTTATTTGTTTAATTTTATTTTAAAATTTTTGAATACCTTAAGAAGAGAAAATATCTTTAGCTCTTTATGTTGTTACGCAGTACATTTGACACATAGAAGCTAAGTGTTCATAGAATTGAAGGTAAGAAGATACATTGCAATGTGTATTTTAAAAATTAATGACAAAAAGTTTAAAAAAAAGAATTCAGTTCTTTTAGTTACTCTTGAGATGCAAGATACAGTGAAATGAGCATTCAGTTGTTACTTTCTTGTGTTAAGCAGTTAGCACCTTAAATGACACATCACACTTTTTTTCAAAGGCTTAATATACTTTTAAAAGCTCTCTAGCCTACATCAAAGAACATGAACATGTCTCTTCCTAGTTTTCTTGTATGGATTTATTAAAATATGGGTATTGAGGAAGAGGACAGTGACATATTTTAATGTGGATTGTATTTTTAAAAAACTCTTAAATCCACATCTCAGATTGACCGTATCATTATTTGATTGTGTCATCCTGAGAGCGGAGTGAAATACTTCAGCAATTCTTTGGAGAGATCACGTGTTACATAGTTGTATCATGTGAAAAGTGGTCTGGTAAGCTTCAGTCTTTAAATGAGAGATTTTGTTTCTTTATGATGTATTTTAGGAATGTCTTTATATGGCTCATTAGTTCTTATGAAATGTGGAAATGTAATTTTTGTTTTCTGTAAATATGTACGTCATGTGTCTGTATGTTTATTTCATCTTTTAGAATGACCAGGTTCTTCAGGGCTTCTCGGTGGACAAAGGAGAATTCACCTGCCCTCTCTGTAGGCAGTTTGCTAACAGTGTTCTTCCTTGTTATCCTGGAAGCAATGTGGAAAATAACCTTTGGCAACGTCCTAATAACAAAAGCATAAAAGATCTCATAAAGGAAGTGGAGGAGCTGCAGGGACGGCCGGGAGCTTTCCCAGTAAGCATCAGTGTAAGGCAGAAATATCCTGGCTAATTCATCTCTGCTTTCAGCTTTTCATTTTCTTTCAATATCTAAATTCTCTGAGCCACTATACATTGAGTAGAAATTGCTTTTAAAAGTTTCTTCTGATTTTGAATGTTTTTTATTATGAAAATAATAGAAGAAACTATTATTAAAGGTATATATCTTAGTTGCTAGGGCAAAATACCTGATGCCCACAACTTAAAGGCTCATGTTTTAGAAGTTTCAGTCCTTGTGTGGTCAGCCAGGGTTGCATGGTAGAAGGGCATGGTGGAGGAGAGCTGCTCAGGGCCTGGCAAACAGGAAGCAGAAAAAGTGAAAGGAGGAGCTGGGAAAGGAGATAAACCCTTATAGACCTTGCTCCCATGACTGCCTCTCTGACCAGACCTCACCTCCCAGCAGCAAGTCAGCTGTAAGCCCCCATAATCCAATCACCTTCCAAAAACCTGCCTATGAGCACATGAGGTTCTTGAGGGACATCTACATGTAAACTGTAACACTATACTTTTCTGTAGTGTAAATCATTGTACTTTTAATATACATTTCCAGATCATGAAATCCTGTAAGTTTAGATATGGTTAGGCTCTTGTAAGATAAAATGTTTAAGCCAGGGATTTAGCTCAGTGGCATCATGCCTGACTTGCAAGTGCAAGGTCCTGACTTTGATCCCCGCTACAAAAAAAAAAAAAAGTTTAAGAAGAAAGCCAAACAAACTGTATATATAGACATGTAGCTTAGTGATGGAGAAACATTCTGAAAACTGTCAGGTGATTTTATCACTGTGCGAACATCATAGAGTGCACTTAGACAAACTAAGATGGTCACTGATGTCTTGAGGGACCATTATTGTATATGTGGCCTGTTACTGACTGAAATGTCTTTATGCAGTACGTGAATGTACATTGCAGTGTAAAGCACAGTGTCATCATTTCAAAAATAGCCTCATTAGGAGTATTAAGATTACAATGATAGATTTACACATACACATATTTGTGTATTTGCTGTGTATGTATTAGGAAAAAAAATGTTGTGTGGCTATTCACTATAAGTCATTCTACTTTACTAGGAATTTGGTGTAAGTGAATCTATCTTTTATATCATCTAATGGGATCCATTTGAGTCTCTCTTTCATTAGATTTATGATAGGTCTCTAAGAGAAGTGACAGTGGTGCCCACATTGGTAAATTTTTAAAAACTATGAATATTTGACTTTTGAAACAAATTCATACATTAAACCTATTCGAAAGATTCGTCTTCTGGCAATTTGCGTTCCCAAGTGAAGGCTAATTTTAGAATCTGTGATTTTTTTTTCATTTTGTAAATTCTAATTTTTATGTACTTAAAATGTGTCACCTACATGTACCAACTGCACATAAAGAATGTAAACATTGTATACTGAAAACATGTACTAATAAAAAAACATTTAAAAAAATGTTAAAATTTAAAAATTCACTTTCCAGATAAAAATATGTTTAATGTAAGGGACATTGATATTATTCTTTAAAAAATGAACTTAAAGATTTTCTTATAAAAATAAAAAATTTGTTTTGCAATATTATTTTAATGACATCTGTTGGCTTAAAATATAGTGTGTGGTAAATTCATAGCTGGATTTTAATATTATCAATCATAATGTAGAATTAGAATGAAAGATTATTAGAGAAAGAATTTTTCATTGGTTTTATCTTTGTGCACTAAATGTACTTATAGTAGATAGTATTACATCTCTTTCGACTTTTAACTTGTGTATTCACATGATAAATAGTTTAGGCTGTTATTAAAATGAATATAAACTTTATATGTATATTTGCATTTTTTATAGTCAGAAACCAACTTAAGCAAGGAAATGGAATCTGTAATGAAAGATATAAAAAATACAACTCAGAAGAAATATAGAGACTATAGCAAGACTCCAGGCTCACCAGACAATGATTTTCTTTTCATGTACTCTGTTGCTAGGTAGGTATATGAAGTATATACTTTTGTATTTACTTATTGTTGGGTTTATTGTACAGTGAGTCTTTCTTTCATTGCCATTTATTTAAAGAAGGGATACAGGGCCATGGATTTATCTCAGTGGTTCTGCCGCCTGCCTTACAAGTGCAAGGACCCGAGTTCAATCTCCGGTACCAAAAAAAAATTAAAAAAAAATAAAGAAGGGATACATATTTTTAATATTGGTTGCAATTATGGTCAGTTTTAGAATCTCTTAGGAGAACTATAAATTTGAAGTTTTCCTGCATTTCCTGAAGAGTGTTTAAATTTTAATGGAATATTTAGGTAAGTATTATTTAGCATTATAGAACATTTAGGGAAAAGTATATTATTAATTAGAACAGATATGTACCTCAAAGCATAGGAGTAGTATATATGAAGTCCTGTCAAAAAGTGATAATACTGGGCCGGGGATTTAGCTCAGTGGTTTCACCGCCTGCTGCACAAGTGCAAGGATCCGAGTTCGATCCCCGTTACCAAAAATACATAAGTAAAAGTGGTAATACTGAGAACTAAAACATTGTAATGTGTTAACATTTTTTAATTTGTGGAAGAACAGTAAGAAGTAGAACTTGCTTTCTTTGTTCACTTTAACCTACTGAGAGATCTAGTAATATCTTGGAAGATGACAGGTAACCTAGGAAACCAAATAAGAGGAACAAGAGATCAGGCATGTTCTAAGTCTATTTGAAGTGAGTAGGGTCTCAAGAAAATAATTGTTTTGGGTTTCTCATCTCAGATTAGGAAAGATTAGTCTGAGTAGGTATTCAACATGTAGAATAGATTTACATGGGAATTTTAGAGAATTTAATTGAGTGAAAATAGAGAATCATAAAAGAAGTAAGTAGGGGAGAAACAAACAAGAGCTTCTAGGTGTTGCAGGCCCCTGTGTATCTCTTGAAGCAAACCTCATGTTTTGTCTAAATGTATTTTGCAGCAAGCTAGTGGTGGAGTAGGATTAAAACTCAGATCTCTTGAATCAAAAACTCAGATCTCTTAAGTCAAAGTTTAGTGTTTTTTCAATTACTGTTCTTTTTTTTTTTTCCTTCTCTGTGTGCAGCTTTTATAGATCATTATGCATGCAGTACATTCTCTCTGCCCTACTCCCTGGAGCAGAGGATAACAAAAGAGTAAATAGAACCCAGGGAAAATGGAACTCAACTTAAAAAAATTGCGACCAAGTTAGAACACAAGATAGTCTTTGAAATGAGTATGCAGTGCCAGACAGGGGTTGATCTAAAAGGATCTAATGAATTACAGAGTAATTTACTGCATATTCCTAGACTTTTGTTTCTCCAGAATGCTTTAGGGGAAGATAGCACAGTTCCTGTTTTGTTTCTGGAGGGTTACCAGTTATTGCATACTTGTAACAAGATATATAGTACTTATATAATATATAAAAATTAAACTGAATATAATTTAACTTCACTAAAATTCTAGGATTATACAAAGCTTCTGTACAATATTGTAATTATAACATTATAGAAGATTGGGTTGAATGTAGACCAACTCAGTTATGCTTTATTTATAATACACACACACACACACACACACACAGACACACACACCCCTACATATACAATATATACAGATTTATGGTCATGTATTTATGCCTTTGCATTATTAGAGTTGACCTTTTTAAGAAAATTCTAATTGAATGAAAATGATCTATACTTAATAAAATGATAATTTTATTTAAATATGCCTTAGTTTGAAATTTTAGACCCTTGTTTCTTGCCTTAACTGTAAAAAACACACAAGATAAAACTTCTGACTGAGATTTCTTAGGCCAACATACTTTGATTTTTCTACTTTATAGAGAAGCAGGGATAGATGACATCTGCTTTTTACTGAGTACAGATTAGAGAAACAGAAAATATATACTAACCTCTATACTTCTCTGATTGCTAATAATAAACTCTAAAGCAGCAAGAGAATGATTCTGAAACCTGATTACCCATTGGTTGGAATTATCAAGGTCATTGCAGAGTTCTAAGTTTTACTTGATCATTACAATGAAAAGAGATAACGAATTGATTAAGAAATAAAACATGAATTTAAAGCAAAGAATGTATGTGGTGTCCTATTTAGATAGGATATTTGTATCAAGAGAAGATAAAAAATCTTTTAAATCGGGCCGGGGATTTAGCTCAGTGGTTCCTTCACCTGCCTCGCAATTGCAAGGACCCAAGTTCGATCCCCGGTACCAAAAAAAAAAAAAAAAAAATCTTTTAAATTATCTTATGTCTAACATTTAACTGATTTCATAAATACTTATGACTACAGAAAAAATTATTCCTAAAAGATGGACATTAAAATTTTAGCAATATTCCATATTTAAGTAAAATATTTAACAACAAACTTACTTTGAATTATTTAATTTTTGAATTAAATGTAGCAATTCTTAAAAGTATAATCCATCAAAATTTGCAGATTTATTTGTGTTTGGCATTTGTAATTTGAATGGGATAAAATTCTAGTTTCATAGAGCAGATTTCTCTCCATAGTATAAGAAAATTTGTTTGCTCTTCAAGAAGTTTGAATTTTTGATGTTTGAAAACAAAATATTTCTGGTGGGTATCCAGCCTAGAAAGCTGTTTCTTTTAATAAATCTTTGAGATTTCATTTTTTAGAAGGGCAATAACATCTGTCTTTGTTTTTAATTTTGTTTACATGGAGAAGCTTTGAAAGATTTTCTGAGGGCCACAGAGAAGAAATTGCTGGAATCTCCTTTTAAAGTTAAATTAATTTAAAAATTAATCAAGATTATTCAAGTGTTAATGTCTTTCCACAATTTCCATTCTGTTGCAAATATCAGTCATTCAAATGGGTTATAGAAAGTTAATTCTGGGGGAGAAAGCTTTCCTCACATCAATTCCAATTCATTATTTAATTATTGAAACAAAGAATGACATGAATTTTAGTAATTGATATTCTCAAGGAATTTTGGACCCAAGTTATATATAGCCTGGAAGTATTGTTGAGTAGCATTTGGCCTGTATTTTGTGAGAAAAATGGAAATGGAAAGATGGCACATGAGTATATGAGATTTAGATGGATGGGCATCTTTAAATCAAGAGTGGGTAAAGTACTTAGTATGTGAATGCACCTAGCTTCACAAATTAGTTGTATTGTAAGTCTAAACTTTGTAAGAAAATTATGTTCAAAGTAAAGGAATGCTTGCTATTCTTTTTAAAAATAAACTCTTCTAAATCTCCCCCGCCCCCCCCACCATTACTGCTGGGTTTAAGGAATATAAAGCTCAGCAACAGAAACATAATAAATGGCAGGGACTAAAGAGAAACTTACACTTGGTTACATGTCAAAACAAAAAAGCTGTCATTTCTGTAACTTTTTAAAGCACTTTGCTAGGCAATTTAGTTGGAGACAGAAAACTTAATAACACTGTATAAAGTGGAATATAATGTTTTTTAAATTGTCATAGAGAAAGTGTTGTAGAACTTCAAAATGGACGATAAGCAAATTGAACTCTAAAATGTGTGCAAGTGCTTCTTTACTGTCTCAGGAAGTATTCTGGAAGAGCCAGAGCTTGAGCTGTGATTTCTGTATAACATGGGCAGTGCTATGGATGAAGGTAGTCTCTCCTCACCCCCAAAATTGAGCATCTTGTTCACCCAGTGAAGTGGTGTGTTCAGGCTTTGAACCCAGATCTTTCTCCAGAGCCTTTGCCCTTTCCACTGTTTCAATGTGAATTTGAGAGAGCTAAAGAGAGGTAGTAGGAGGGGAACAAACATTTGTTTTTGAAATTATGGCTTTAAAAATAACAGTGCTGAAGGGGAATAAGAGACAAGGCAGATGTTGGTCATGCAAAAAGGAATTGGGAGTACAGTTAGAGGTTTTCATGAGGATATTCAGTATATTTAGGTGGCCACAAAGATAGGCTTTTAACAGTTTTTCCTCATCATTTTTTCAAATATAGAGATTTTTCTCTTTTTTTGTTCCAAAGTAATTTGAATGTATTTGTGTTAGAAAGTATACAAAATAGAATATATACTACTTTTCTTCAAGAATAAAAAGTGCAGAATAAACTCACTCCCAACATATCTTAATTTTTGCATTATACATTCAGAAAGACAGAAACAGAGTATTGTGTTGCGATTTTCAACAGTGCAGGGTGCCCATGCATGGTAATCCTTGCCTGCAAATCCCACTACCCTGGGATTCTGAGGCAAGAGGAGTGCACATTTAAGCCCAACCAGGCCAACTTAGCCCAGTGTGAAGGCCCTGGGTTCAATTCCTAGTTCTGCACAAATACTGTAAACAAAAAAACAGTCATGGAGGGCTGGGGTTGTAGCCCAGTGGCACCGTGCCTGCATGGCAAGCACAAGATCCTGAGTTTGATTCCTGGTACCAAAAAAGAAAAAAAAAGCCAGTCATGGATGATAGACGTGGGGCATATGACCATTTTGCATGTTGTACATGAAGTAAGTACATGTTGATGGATAGGGCCTCTGACACTGATTTTTTAAAATCCTGGATATTATTACATATTAACACTTTGGTTAGGTAGCTTTTGTTTTTAATGCAGGAGTGTTGCACAAGAGGAGATCTTTCAAATGTAATCTGAAATAATGTTAGATTTAGTAGTTTTAAGTATCCTCTAAAATGAAATTCCTGTTAACATATTTATTCTCTGAAGTATCATATTTGGTGATTGAATAAGCAGAATTGTTCTTATATTTTAGTGAATATTTTTGCAAATAAGGTGTAATAAAAGTAGGCATTCTGGTTCTCACATTCATTTTTAAGAATTGTTCATGTTTTTGGTTAGTACCTTTAAAAGTACTATCTAGGAAATCTTAGTTTTTATAAGAGAATATAGCCATTAATTTTTTTCTACAGATTAGGCAACAGAAGATTTGTGAAAACAAAATGTTTTGATATCATTTCTATTCCCTTGATGAAGGAACACATGCTGGTCTCCGCTCGCTTTCTGTCCACTAGTATGAAATCCTTGTCCCTGCTTCCTCGCTGGTAGGTTTTTAGAAGTTCAGTGAGCAATGCAAATTGCTGAAGGGTGGAAAGTCACACAGAGGCCTTATCAGCCGCAGCCAGATGGAGCTCTGAGTGGGAACATTAGCAGTGTTAATTGCTTCTCTCCCCTGCAAGAGAAAGGATTGGAGCATCCCTTTAGAAATGGGTGGCAATGTGCAGATTTAAGAATATTAATATTTTTAACAATTTGTAAGTTAATAAATGAAAATATTTCAAAACATTCCGTATTTAAAATAACAACCAAAAATCAATTTAAAATGTTTTAAGATACAGTCTCTTGAATTCACTTGGAAAGAATAAGCTTGAAACTTTGCCTTTTTTTTTTTAAAGGGGGGAGACATCTCATTATTAGTGTCAAATGCATATCTTTGCTATAAACTAGTTAATTCAATTTTATAGAAAAAAGGCTTATAAATACTGATGAAGTAAAACACAACTTAAATTACAACCCAGAATTTTATTTATATTTTTGCACAATTTGTTCTTTTATTGTTTTTGAGGAAGTCTTTAGATTTTTGCATTAATTTGATTTTTGAAATGTCAATTTACTAATTATTGCTATTGTATGTTAATAATTGTTACAAAACTTGTAATTTCAAATTCTATGAACATACTGATGTTTAGCAATGTCAATAAAGTATTTTAATAAAACTAATTTTAGAAGTCCATACATAATAGAGTGCTGTTATTTATATATTTTGTTCATAACCATTTTGATATTAGTGATTTTGTTTGTTAATATTGATTTCCAGATGCCATCTAAGCTTCAGTGAGTGATAACCATTTCTCTAATAGGAAAATTGCTTTGCCCTTGTGTTTTGTATGACAGTAACTACCTACTTAGTGGCTAACATTGGAGTACAAATTCTTTCATCAGATTTCATGTGCAGGTTTACAAGATATGTTGCCTAAGGCCTAGTTTTTAGTATTTGCCTACAGCTTGGACTTTGCAATTGTGACATGGTGATATGTGCAATTTTTTGCAGGTATAAATATGAACATATAAGTAAGGATGGATAAATTATTCTCTTTTCATTTTTAAATATCAGATAAAATATGATTATTACTGATATTGCATAAACTGCTTTATAATAAAGTTGGAAAACTAATGCAGACATATCAATAAAGCAAACTGAAAAGGGTCTTTTCAGCTTAATGACTGAAATATGTTTTAATGCTTTACTTACAGAACAAATTTGGAACTTGAATTGATTCATAGAGGAGGTAATTTGTGTTCTGGTGGTGCAAGCACGGCTGGAAAAAGGTCTTGTTTAAGTAAGTTAAACAGTGTTAAATTTTAAAAATCTGTTTATGTTAAGTTTTGAAAGCATATGCAAGCAAAGTGGTCTTTTGGTGTTTTTTCAAGATCTGATTATGTTAATATATAATCAGTTTTGATAGTGATATGTATTTTAAATGGTCAGTCTTATACTTAGAGGAATCATAAATATTTAGCCCTTTCTATTCTAGGATTGCTCAGTGTATGTCATACTAAATGGTCAGATTTATCTTCCTTCACAACTAAAAAATTATTTTCTAGTATAAAAATTGTCCTCAAACTTAAATTCTTTTAAAGAAATTTTACATTGAATTGATATAAGGAAGTCTTTATAAAAAGAATTTATATTGCCCACAGATTTGTATTATAGTTATGCCATATCTTTATGCATGTATTAATATATTAAAATTATAGATGTTTGCTTTTAATTATGTATATATTTTATAAAATGAACATGATTCTTCTGTACTGTATGTAAAGGTATTTTTGACTAAAATGTGATGGAACTTAAGAGTAGGTTTTCCATGAGGATAGTTTTTCATACCATCACTGTTTACTCACTATTTAGAGAATTAATGTGAATACTCTAGAGTAATTTTATGTAAGTCAAAAAAGATAATCTATGTAATTTTGAGCTGATTTCAAAGCAAAGGATTGAACAAAAAACAAATTTCTAACATAAAGATACAAACATGAAATTTTAAGTTTTAAGAATTCTTATTGTAATACATTTTAATATTTATTTTGAATATCACTTAATTCCTAGAAGTTAAGGTTTTGAAAGTTTTAAATTTATTTTTAATTTAATTTAATTAATTTATTTTTTTGTACTGGTGATCAAACTCAGGACCTTGCCTCTTGCGAGGCAGGTGACAGAACCACTGAGCTAAATCCCCAGCCCAAGTTTTTTATTTTAAATGAGTACTTAGTCTATTTTGAGCCCTTGGAGTATGTACCTAAACCCTATTTATATTCTATATTACAGTAATATGTTTTAGAGGGGAAAATTGTTGATATAAAGGAATTTCTAATCTGTTTGGATTAATAGATACTATCATTTTAGTTGCATAAATTTTTTTTCTTGTTAATTTATTCTTGATTGATGTTTGGGATTGACCACTAATATTCAATATATTAGCATGTGTTTAGGAAAGGGATTTGTTTTATGCTTAAAAATTTGCTTCATTTTTTTCTCTGAAGGACTTAAACTTATTCAGAGGCTTATAAATGATGAAATTATCCAGAATCCTGAAAATAGTAGTAAAATTTGAAGGCATCTACTTCAATAACCAGATTCAATTTTAAGTTATTAAATTGATAGGTACTTTCAGACTTATGTTTCTTTGTTTTCCCTTTTAGTGAATAACAGATTATAATGTGCTAGTACAGGAAAGATCATGATGAAGTTCATCCTAAAAATAAGTTAATATTGTGATTATTTTTCATGTGATTTATTACTGAATTGCTTAAGATGTTATTTATGCTATTTATAAATTTTTCTTGTAAGTCATTTGTGTAGAATATATTGTATATTGTATAAGGCCCCACTATTTTGGAGGTATATAAAATTAATGTTTTAATTCAAACAGTTTAAGTTGAACCATCAGTGTTTCATAGAATCTCAATCTCTTTCTCTTTTTGATCTTTCAGTGGAACTACAATACTATTATTAAATAGAATTCTACCTTTTTTCTAGAGAATTTTCCTATATTGTTATTTTCCTTTTCCCATCCATTGTCACTACCTTTTATATCTCATTTTTAAGGTGTCTTTTCATCTTTGGGGGAAGTGAGAGCATCATTAATTAAACAAACTAAAGAACTTTTGTTTTTATCATCCTGGAAACACTGTACCCTTGGAATATGGGTCCGTCATAACTTTGTGATCCATCTAGTCAGGAAAACTTTTTTTTTCTTTCGTACCATTGAACTTGGGTCCTTGCACTTGTGCAGCAGGCAGCGAAACCACTGAGCTAAATCCCCGGCCCAGGAAAACTTTTTGTTTTTAGAGACAGGGTCTCACTATGTAGTTCAGACTGGCCTTGAGCTCACTATATACCCCAGGCTGGCCTCGAACTCAAGGTGATCCTCCTGCCTCAGCTGAGATTGTAGGTGTGGGCCACCACACCCTGCTAATCAGGAAAACTTTTAATAAATTTTGTTTAGAAAGGATTGAGCAGTGGCTGAAATGAAATTATAGAGGCATAGAAGTATACACACAGTGTATGTGAGGTTTGAGAGCAGTAAGAAGATTATTTTTTTTCTACAGTAATAAAATTAAAATATTACCTAACTTATACTGGGAAATCAAATAAAATGAAGTGGAACAATGCCATTCAATACATGTATCTTTGAACAAATTTTTGAATAGTTGAGGTAAAGTTATGCATATCCAATCAAAATAAAAAAGGTATTCCTAAGTTTGTATCTGGGAAATTTTCCACAGTAAAAAGTGAGCAAAATAGGGGTGGGGATTTAACTCAGTGGTTTTGCCGCCTGCTGCGTAAGCGCAAGAACCCGAGTTCGATCCCCGGTACTAAAAAAAAAAAAAAAAAGTGAGCAAAATTATTTCACATAGTGCCTACCATGGTATTTTAATAATACATGGAAATTTTAAAGTTTGTAAAGTACTTGCACATAAATTATTTGATCTTCATAATGACCAAGTGAAATAGATGTTACCTCTATTTCATAGAGAAGAAAATTGAAGTTCAGAGTGATTGCTTTGCCAAGTCACACACCTGGAGAATATCTGAGCTTGCCCTTGAATCTGGCTCTGGGCTCAAGGGTAGAATCTTTAAGACCTTTTGTCCACAAGCTTAGCGGAAAACATCCTATTGCATGCTATTGACTTGCAGTCTTTCTAGGCTCTGCCTACCCTTTTGCTTATCTTGTTTGTTTTCTTTTACCAGCTTTTCACTATTAATCCTATGTTTGTTTTGGGCCACTTCTTCAGATGCTTTGTCAAGTCCCCTGTTTTTTGGTTATCAATTAGTTCTTTATTCCCCACCAGGTTGGTAGCTGGTTCCTCCTTGATCCTGCTGAGAGCCCTCTGTGTCAGCATATAGCACTGCTCCTAATTCCTTGGTCAGAGCTCCAGACCTTCTCCTAACCAACCAGAAAATGTCAGGCATTTAGGACCATGTGTTTGGCAGATGAGACAGATGCTAGATCATTTATTGTAAGATAGAAAGTATTAAATTCTATTGAGGCTATGGATGAAGTTCTAGAAAATTTGGAGGTTTGGGATCATATCTATCTGGTAGAATCAGTGAAGCTTTTGGTGGACATAATATTTGAGTAAGACTTTGAAAGATAAGTGAGATGAGTTTCTGTTACAAATCCATGTACACACTGATAAGTACTATTAGTTTGATTATCAACAGATGTAGGACCAAGCAGATATAAAAACTGAAGGCATAACTTTTTATTAAAAATATTAAGGTTACTCTGTTTATTTCATTGACATGATTTGAGAGAAGATATGAAACTCCATAGATTCCACTGAAGCTTACAGATTTTTCTTTTACCATGACATTCTTGGTGTCTTCTCAAATAGAAATTGTTGAAACCACTGACAAGTGTCATTTTGATAAATTATTATTACAGGGTTATAGTATAAAATATTTATTTTTAGATAGAACATCTTTGCATATCTTTACATTTGACTTTCTGCTTATTCTGTAATTTACATTAGAAGCTAAAGTTTACATCTCCAATGGATTCTATGACTTTATAGAAAGATGTAAAACTAAACTTCAGGGCTGGGAATATAGCTCAATAGTAGAGCATTTGACTAGCATGTGCAGGCCCTCAGGTTCAGTCCCTAGCACCATAGCTAAACTAAATTAAACTTTAGTTAACTGAGACTAGAGAGGCTAAGGTAAACTTTCGCTTTGACAATTTTATTTGAGAAGTTCTGACTGACTTAATTTTGATATAGTTTATGATTTTATTAAGAAATGCATAGTCACTAAATGAATAGCTTCCACCTGTATATAGTATTTGTGGTAAGCAACTCAGTTTAGGTGTGTACAGGCAACTTAAAATAGTTTTAGTTGCTCCAGAAATGAATTTTTGGTAATTTAGAATTATAGAAAATTATTTTGACATCTATTTCTCCCTTCATAAGACTGCATAAAGATATTAATGAACAAATGAGGAGTTTTCACTGAATTGCTGTTAAATAGTCTGTTTTTTTCTTTAACACAGTAAAATTCTGACAGAATATAGAGAAAAATTTTCAAATTTAAAAATATGGATTCTACAATAGCTTGAATCATAACTTTACTTTTTGGTTACCACATAAAATCTTATCAAAACTGTTATAGTGCCATACAATGTATAAATTAATATAAAAATAGAAAAATTGTCTCCTGAGACCAGTGACCTATCAGTTTTTATTGTTAAAAGCTGATTTTAGGGCCTGGGATTTAGCTCAGTGGTTCTGTTGCCTGCCCTGCAAGCTCAAGGACCTGAGTTCAATCCCCAGTAACAACAACAACAAAAAAAGAACTATTTTGGGCCGGGGATTTAACTCAGTGTTTCCTGCACCTGCCTTGTAAGCTCAAGGTCCCAAGTTTGAGCCTCGGTACCAAAAAAAAAAAAAAAAAGGAAAAAAAGCCAGGGATTTAGCTCAGTGGTTCTGCCTGCCTGCCTCAAAAGTGCAAGGACTTGAGTTCGATCCCCAGTACCAAAAAAAAACAAAAGCTGATTTTGTGTATTGAAAGTGTTCTCTGTTCTGAAGAGCAAGTTATTTTAGTCACATAATATATTTAGGGCCTGTGTAAAAGCAATAGGTGTGTGCTTAGGCAAATCATTTAATGTTTTGGGTTTCAATTTCTTCACCTATGAAATTGATGGCTTAGCCTGGATGATTGGTATCCTGAAAAATGTTCACAGTGGCTAACTCTGTTGTTTGGAGATATGAAGCTTCCTGCCTCATCCTCTTCCCTTCAGTTAATTAGCATCATTATATTTCAGCATGAAAGTTAAAT